CTACTACTACTACTCCTGCTGCTGATGCTGCTGCTGCTGATGCTGCTGATGCTGCTGCTGCTGATGCTGCTGCTGCTGCTGTTACTATGTTTTGCACCAGCCATTCCGCTGTTGTCGATATACGTGCCATGGCTACAGCCTGTACTGTAATTTCTGCCGCTTACCGTTTTCAAATATTTGTATATATCTCATTTATTTTTGGGGTCAGCGCTTGTACCATTATCGTTGCTAGACGGTTTGGTTTTCGTGAGACAGGTGGGATTGGGGGACGGGGCCGTCCCGTCGCCCTAATTTACTGTCCCCTACGCTGAACAGTTGAAAAATCTCAGTTTAAGGTGTTTGAGGCCTCTGAAATTCATCAGCTGCTGAGAATACAGTATTTGATGCCTCCAGCATCAAAATGCAACGAAAAGCAGAAAGCATCCCTAATCCAATCCCCAGATACAGTTTCGCTCAGGAGCTGGCTGCAAAGACAGGTGACCGGGATCCACACGACAGAGATCAAGAAACCTGGCTGCAAAAACCCAAGCCCAGCCAAAGCGAGCCTCGTTTACATCAGGAGATTGCCCGGCTGCATGCTCAACTTGCAGATGCTGAAGCCAAGCTCCAACAGAGCCCCCAGCAGACGGTTGAACTTGGCAAAGAGACCAGTGCGGAGCAAATCCAGCAGCTGCTAGCAGAGCTCTCGCAAAAAGATGCCGAGCCTTGGAATGTGAATACTGCGACTTGGGATTAAGCTTCTAAACCTTGCTGATCGTTAGTAATGGCAAGGACCTTGTGCGCCTGCGGGCACAAGTCGGAAAGCTGGAGCTCCATGCATCCGAGAGCGCGGAGGGCGCACCTGGGATTCAGGGCCAAGATTCTCAAGGCGCTTCACTTCTGCAAGATGAGCTGCGCAACAAGAACCAGGAGCCTACGGTCAAAGCAGATGTTTTCTAGTCCGTTTTGCACATGGGGCTTCACCAGGAAATCACAGATCTCAAGAATCGGCTCGCAAGTGCTGAAGAAAAGCTGCGTGACATGGATGTCACCAACCTGGCATTGCAAGCGGATGTCACAGAAACTCCAGAGAAGCATGCAATGGACTCCAGCGACACGGCGGAGAGTGACGCATGCCTCGAAATCTTCACTGTTCAGTGTGAACAGGGTGATCTTGGATTTCGATTGCTTCAGTTTCCGCCTGCAGAGAAATTGCTGATCCTTGCGGTCCAAAGCCATGGCTGGGCCCATGTGGCTGGTGTAAAGAAGGTTGGGGCTTCTTGTTGTTTAAATGCTTCTTGTGCTTTTGCCAAGCAGGGTGACCGGTTGCTGCGGCTGCACTCGCACAGCGCCAGCTCGTTCAGCGCATCAGCCTTCAGGCAAGCCCTGAGGCCTTGGAGTAAGGGGAGTTCGGGATCTTTAAGGGGTGAACGGGAGCAGAAGGGTACAAGTTGGGTACAAGTACTACTAGTAGGACCTAGGAGCAATTGTGGCAGGTCGCAGCGGCCGCTGGCCAGGGACTCGGGGCCTTCGCCATTGCGTAGGTTCAGTCCCTCGGATCGGCGGATGGAATCAAGTAACCTTGCCTGCCGAGGAGTTGACTCTGCAGCGCGGCTCTGAGGCTGACTTAAAGGAGGTGGCGTCCACTCTGGTCCAGGCCAGCTGGCGCAGCAAGCATGTCCGGGACAATCCAAGCCAAAAGCTGGCTCCGCGGCTTTAAATGTATGACCACGATCCACCCGAGGCTTTTGTGTTTCGGGAGCTTGGGGGGCGGGCTTACTACTTCAAAACTTCGAAAGGGGGAAAGCAGTGATCAAGTCGGGGTCTAGACTTAGGGCTTGGATTTGCAGCTACAGAGCAAGAAAGTCGTCAACCAGTTGTTGAGATTACACGCCCAAGGAGCATTCCCATCAGGTTCATAGGCCAGTTTGAGGACACAAAATGAACGAGTCGTTCTGCCAAAGTCAATGCGTAAGGGCAGAGCTTCCTCACTCAGTGCATGCAAGCGAAGTTGACATAACGCAATTTCTCTCTCCAATGTGCTGTTTCAGCCGATTTGTGTGGATACGGTATGCAGCGATGCTCAGGCTGCTTCGAAGGAACCGCCTGCAGCCGAAGCGCAGTTGGCCGCTTGCAAGGCAGAGCTTGCCAGGTGCACCGAGGAGCCTTGAGCACGTGTCCTGCAGCTTTTCTTTCTCCCCTCTTGCATGCACATCTTGCCTCAGGAGCTTAATCGTGTGACAGCTGAGCTCGAAGATGCCAGTTCGAAGCTTGCATCCAGAGATGTGAAAGAGGAGAAGGTCGACACTCCGGACTCTCGCGCTTCCTTTCAGATTTCGCCATCCTACTGGGCCGCTGGACGCAGTTTCAAGGGTTCAGCATTCACACCTCCATCCAATTTATTTATAATATGCGGGGCTCAGGAGACTGTGGAGCTTCAGGCACTGAAGGAGGTGAGCTCACTCAGCCAACTGTCTTTGTCTTGTGGGATTTGTCTGCTCCTTGAGGGCTCTGATGAGAGCCTGCTAAGCTGCTGAATCGGAGGAGCTCCTGCAGAAGGATGCTGAAATGCAAAGTCTGCGGCACAACCTTGCAGATGCACAAAGAAAGCTCAAGGTGCAGAGCCCAGACGTGGGGATGTGGTAGAACCCATGCTACATTCAAGACAGCAGATGCGGACCCCAAGGACAGCGAAGGCAGCATATTGAAGGCCACAGTGCCCAGATCAGTCGAAAACTGGGGATTCCGCCTGCAGCGTGGCCTGGTCTACGAGGTTGGGAGGCCTTTGAACATTTTTGAACTGAGGTTTTTGTGAAAGTTGTGAGTCACAAGGTGAAGAGGGCAGGATGGGCCGAAGCCGTTGGCTTGCAACCAGGTTGCCTACTCAGCGAGCAGCAACGGCATCTCTTCGTGCTGTTCCCACCGCTTCAACTAGGAGATTTACAAGTTGGAGCCTGCTTGGGTGCGGCTGAGGCGATCGGCTCCTGACAATTCAGGGCAAGCCGGCCATCGATTATAGCAGGGATGACTTCGACCGAGCGCCTGCACCGCAAGGAGCAAGCCTCTTCAAGGTCATACGTTATACTGTATGCTTCTTGGTGAACGGTGGATCCAAGGTCAAGTCCGAGCGGCCCTTGCAGCTGAAATTCCATCGCGACCCGAAACAGGCCCAGGAGGTGGCCTCAACAAAAATCCAGGCAAGTTGGAGAGGCAAAAGTGTTCGGAAGAAGGCCAAGCTCCCACAGATAGAGGCACGGATGCAAATTGGCGGTGAGATCGTGAAGGCCGTTGCTGGCTCTGCTGTGTCTGAGCTGGGATTCAAGCTGGAGTGCTGGCCACCAGCCCCACGCATTTTGGTCCGTTCGGTTCGAGGTGATGGCTGGGCAAAAGGCATTGGGATGCGGGCGGGTGACGAGCTCCTCTCTGTTCAGGGCCATGAGCTCAAACAGTTGGACCGCCGAAAGTTCCAGAAAGCAATTGGTAAAGAGCGGCCCTTGGAGATCACTTTCTGCCGGGGAACCAAAGAGGATGTGGAGAGGATTGCTTCAAGCAAAATCCAAGCAGGTTGGCGGCGTGCCCACAACCAAGCCCCGAGTGATGAAGCCGGCCGCAGCCAGCCGACCCAAAAGCAAAGCCAGAGCCAGAGCCAAGAATCGCAGGAGCCGCATGCGAAGCTCCTTGCCATGATGAGCCACGAAAGCTTGGTCGTGTCAGAGCTCAAGGAGAAGCTAGCGGAAAAAGAGCGGGAGCTGAAGGCACTACGCCAGGAGTTTTCAAAGGCAGAGTCAGTGTTTCAGACCAGCCTGGCGGATATCTCCGTGGATTCCTCAAACTCGGCGGTAGAGCTGGCGTCCTTAAAGGCACAGCTAGCCGTGGAGCAGTCCAAGGTGCAACGCAACTTTCGTACACCACACGCACCTTCTTTTGCTTGCCCCACTTTCTGCTTTTCATTTGCCTGCTTGGAGGCCGCCAAGCTCCAGGGTGATGCCGCTGCCAAGAGCACGGCTCTCGGGGCGAAGCTCGGGGTGGAGCAGCGCAAGGCCGAGACACTCCAGGAGCGCCTCGTGTCTGCAGCTCCCTGGCTGGTCAAAGGATAGCAGACAGGACCTGGCTCGGCCAGTACTAGTAACTGGTAGAAGGGACGACAGCAGCAGGATCGGATGGATTTGCAAGGACAGTAGGCTGAAAGAGGCGCGCAGGTAAAACGCACCGGCACACGTAGCTGGCAAGCGAAGCCAGAGGGAAGGCGGCAAGGCGACACGCTCATTGTTTTGCGGTGTTTATGGAACTTCGATGCCATCCCTTCGCCTGCTGAGGAAGTGATGCATCAGGAGCAAATGAATGAAATTACAGATTTTCTCACCGCAAAGCAGCAAGAGCTTCGTCTCTCCGACTCTGACTTGCTAGAGATCAGTGCTGGGCGGATCATTTCCAGCCGCGGCCCGAACGCACCCTTGCTGAATGTCAAGCAGTGGTATGTAGCAGTGTCGCACTGTAGTATGTAGTAGTGCAGTAATGTACTCAGGGTTTAGACAATGGCTCAAATGGAACCTCATAAGAAAAGCCCTCTTTGATGGACTGTAGTGTTCGAGGCGCCCTGCTTGGGGGTCCATGAAGGAGGGCAGGTTTGACCCTAAACTGGTAGCCCCTAACTTCCATTAAATTCCTGTATATGGCACGTGAGACATGTCCCAAGACTGCGAACTTATTCAAAGTTCCTGATCGTGTTGGACAACCATGTTCAGAGTTCCAGGAATTGCAACTCCTTCGTTACGGTGAAAGTAAACTCTGGACCGGCTACCTCCTGTCCCAGACTTTTTTGTGTAGGTCTGCCATGGATGTTCTGACCTGCACAACCCCCTCCCAAACTCCAAAACCTTAAGCTCTAGAGTTCCAATAAAGTTGAAGTCCGATAGACTGATCCGGCAAGCCGTAAGTTTTGATCCGACAAGACGTAAGCTTTCATAGTCCATAAACCACGTACACTGACTTAATCCCTAAAGCTCCCTAAGTCTTGCTGTACCTAAACCCTAAACCCTGAACCCCAAACTCCACGGTACACCCTAAAACCTGAATCCTAAACCCCAAATACCACCCAGCTGGGCCCCTGCTCCAGCGGCACCAAGGCAGAGGTGGCCCCTAGGAATGTAGCAATCTAGTAAATGTAGTAGTTTGGCTTGGCTTTTCTTGGGGCCCCCGGCATTTGTCAAGCCGGCAGGGCTGAGGAGACCCTCACAAGACTCTGCGAGCCTGAAACTCTCTTCACCTCAGTCTTCAGATTGCAGGAGTTTTGGCGAAGGGTTACTGAAAGCATCCCAGGAGATGATGGAGCTGAAGCATGCCCTCAACGAAGAGCAGGCCAAGGCCAGCGCGAAGACGGCACCACTTGCCACAACTTGCCAAAGGCTGCAACAGCCCATGCTTCACTGTGAGCGGGAAGGTTTCAACGGCGGAACGGAAGCTGGTAAAGAGTTGGTCAGACCAGCGTGACTTGGCGCAAATCAGAGATGTCGACAAACAAAGCTAGCTTATTTAAATCTGTCTGAGCATCGAGGTGCACTCGACTTACAGTGGCACGCAGAGGTGGCAGCTCGTGACGAAGAGCTCCAGGAACTTCGGAAGGAACTCTCAAAAGCGGAGTGGTGGGCATCGCTGTCCAAGAGATCTCCTCAGCATCAGGATTCTGTGATCGTGCTAACATGTTGGCATATACTGGCCCAGCCTGCATGAGTCATGTCAATGTGAGGAGGTTCTGAACATCAAAGAAGAGCTTTCCTTGGAGCAGGCCAAAGCCTCTCGTGCGGAAAGGCGGATGGCGGACAGCGGCTTTTTACGGCTTTTGCCCCGGTTCTCTGCAGAGCTATGTGAGGCGATTGGCCGAAGCCCAGGCATGCCGGCCTCACGTGAGATCTCTTTTCTTGCGCAGCTGGTCGCGTGGTGATCCTGCATGCTGCTTCGCTGAGCGAACTCGGAGGATGCTGCGCATCTGCTTGAAGAGATCCAGTCTTTGCAGGCTCATGCCATGCCATGCCTGCTTTCACGACTCCCCTTGTTTGGAGGCTGCCCTCAATCAAGAAGAGGCTGTGGCTTCTGTGGTTCATAAAGCTCAAGCAGTCTGGGAGAGGTTGATCACGCAGCAATCTGAAACCCACTGCGCAAATCAGTCATCGAGTCATGTGTACCTCATCTTGACAGAGCGCGTGCAGCAACTTTAAGCAGAGAGTTTGCGTGTAATATTTGACTTGCCAGAAAATCCAGGGCTGTAGCTGAGTCTTGGCAGATGCTTCTGGCAGGCACAGGTACTGCAGATCAAAACAGCCCTGACTCAGGCCAGGGCTTGTCTGGATGGTGGGCAACGTGCCAGAATACAAACCACTTCTAAGCGCTCCTGGAGGCCCAAATCCAAAGGCAGCTCACAGTAGAGGTGGCCGCGCAAATAGAGGCGCTGCTTTGTTATCGACGTTTGACATGTTCGGCTTACCTCCATGCCGTGGTCTGGCAGGATGAGTCGAAAGCCACGCAGAAGGTGCCTTCAAGGTGTTTGGGCGAAGCTTTGACTGAGTGCGCAAGGCCACGAAGACAGATTTGGATCGCTTGAGCTGGGAGCTACTTGGATGAAGAAAGTCTTCTGTTCACGCGCTACTTGTTGTTCTATTCTTCTCAGTGGTGCAAGCAGTCTTGGCTGTTGTTTCCGCCTCAGGCTCAGAAGGCAGCAACGTGAGCTCGAGAAGGCCGCACGGGGTTTCACTTGTGATGAAGCACCTGCCGTTGCTTTTCTGAGAGCCTCAGGTGACAGCTGAAGATGCTGCAGCTGTAAAGATGCAAGCGAGAGCTCGCCTGCTGCTCAAGAGCTTAAGTGTGCTGCGTACATGGAGCTACATGGACAGTCTGAGGTGGGAACCTTGCCCGGAAGCAGATTGCAACGATGAAGGAGAAGGACAAGATTGTCAAAAAGGCAGGTCCTGTTCTGCTGGCCTGAGCTCATGAGGTAGCCATGCGCAGTGCCTTGCCACAGGCGGCGGAAGCTCCTGCTGCTCCATCGAGTCACGAGATGCCAATGGCACCTGCAGCAAGCGCTGGGTCGACAAGTTCGCCAGCTCCTCGCCGCACAGATGAGGCAAACTCCACACGTCGTAACATGAAGGCAACCATGAAGGCAACATGACCAGACCTGAGCTTGTAGGCAGCCGATTCCGCTACATCGGAACTTCGCACAAAGCTGGCCATCGCGCTCACGGATTCCGTGCAGAAGGGCTTGCTTTCGGAAGAGTTGACAAGGGCGGGGGCACGGCAAGTATTGCTGCATCAAGGCCAGTACCGGGATTGCAGCAGCGCGTGCGCAAAGGTGTACGGACAGCCTTCACGTGCGGTGCAGACGCTTCGAAAGGAGTGTTGCAGAGCAGCTTGGTAGATCATACTGCAATGCACTCCTTGAAGGAAGTGGCATCCCTTAAGCAGAAGCTTGCAATGGCGCAGGCCAGTGTCGGTTGCCAGCTTTGACGTGTCATGGTGCTCTCCCAACCTTCAAGGCCTCCAACATGGCCACTCCGCCATCCACACCGGCGTCGGGAAGGAGGCCAGTGACTTCGGGCCTCCAAAGTTGCTGTAGGTTCGCTCGCTAGCAATCTTTTGGTGCTTATAGGCTGTTTGGAGGGATGCTGCTATTGTAGCATCCGCCTGCTGTACTGCAAGCCAGTATCAATGCATTCTGCTTATGAATCTTCGCTGAGTGGCGCTAGGACTCCCACCTGCTCCAAGAAGAAGATTCAGCATTCTTCAAGCACCGTTGCCAGTCAGAACAAAGCGTGTCGCTTCTAGCGCCTCAACGATTCTTGATGTCAGAATCTGTCGTAAGGTTCGCTTTGCGATGGATCATGAGGCTGAGGCAGGGAGCCTCCATGCTGCCTTCATGCCGCGTGCTGGCTACCAGTACTCTCAAGCTCCTCTCGAACAATCTTCCGTGTGCATGTCAGGCTTTGGAAGCAGATGCAGCCGTGCACTGAGCCAGTTTCATCTACTAGAGTCTACTAGAGGTCTCAGTGGTTAAGAGCGTGGTATCTCAGTGTCCAGAGTCTGAGGCACTCCCGGCAAGTCCTGTGCAGGACACGCGAGACGAGGCGTGCCACCTTTTTGGCCACAGTCTCTACGGGCCTGTATTCATCTAACGCCCAGGCAAAGGCGGTAAAGGACCTAAAGCAAGCCGAGGTGGGCACGAATGTCGGTGGTTTTCTCAAGCAGCTAGCTCATACCCTCAAGCGTTCCAGTCTTTATTTGCAGCATTTTGCAGCCTTCCTTGTATGCAGGAGAAATCGCGGACTTTCGAGGAGGATGCTATGCGTGGCAGCTTTTTGCATTGCCTGATCTAACTTGCGTCGTCGGACAGGAGGCTGCTGGATTCGCACAAGAAATGGACGCTTGGCAGCACATCATAGTGACGTAGTGTGCGTTGCTGCATGTAGAGGGTGGCAAAGCATAGTCGCTGCACATCTGGGGAGGAGCAACTGCACAAGGAGAAGGCAATCTGGGACTCTCAGGGCAGGGGACGGTGGGGATGCTGAGGACGTGATCAGAAACCTCTTGCACAGGCCGAGATGAAGATGGAGATGAAGCTGGAGGTTGAGGAGATGCAGGCAGCATGAGAGTTGCGACAAAACTAGAGTCCTTATGCAGTTATATTGCAGGCACGGCTGGAGAAGGACAGCACAAAGCATGTGGAGTGCGATTGCTCAACAGTCTTTTTTTAGAGATCTTTGGCCTTGGCAGCTGCTGGAGCGACTAAATCATTCCGAATTCCTTCCCGGTTCAAAGCTTTCAAGAGTAGTACAATGACTGTCGTTTGGCACGAATGATGCACCGGAATCGCAGTGATGTGGCTTTCACAAATAGCTTTGACCGCCGTTAATCTGGCATTGGACCTCATGCGACTGTGCCCTTTAGCATGAAGCGTGCTCTCAATTCGGCAACCCACAGCTCGGAACTTAGTGAGTATGCACCCAGTGATGGGTCTTCGCCTTCTTATTGGTTGATGAGGAAGAGCTGCACCATACCCAGCAAAAAGTCTGGCAGAACCTTGTCGATTTTTTGCAAGAGCAGCTTGGTGGCAGCAAAGGTTAAAAGCTAGAAGATAGTTGCGGGTGCAGCAAGTACTTCAGGCCTCGACACAAGTAGCCTGCGAAATGGCAAGGGGAGGATGTTCTTTGTCCAAAGACTCTGTCCGTGTGTCATCCGCATGGTACGCATGAGGCAGGATGGTGCAAGCTCGGGCCCTGGCCAGGAGTTGCATGATTTGCAGAGAGCAAGCTTGCAGCTGTTGACTGCAAGTGACAAATGGTCCACAGAGTTGTATCAAAGTAGAGTGCATAGTGGAAGTCTCTGATGTGTCATATCTGCTGTAGCTGCTCTTCGGTTTTAAGCAAGCCATCGCGTGCGTTCTTTGTCCTTTGGCTTGCCATCCTGCTATCCCTTATCAATCTCTTTGACTCGCAGCTCAGAGATTTTGGCATGTCTGTTCGTTCGCAAAGAGCACGGCAAGAGAGAGAGGGGCAACAATAAGATATAATGACTAATCAGAAGCAATGTGTTGGCATCTCACTCGACCTCAGCAAGGTCTGCAGCAAGCACGAGGAAACACAGTCCAGAAGGTTAAACGTGAGAGGCCGCACTTGATGAGAAAGATGCACACGGTCTACAAATTCTGCAAGAATCCAAGAAAATCTCAAAAAAGTGGATGTCGCATACCTGACATCCGCGGCTCTGTCATCATCCAACTTCTATGGCTTGCATGCATTCTGGAACAACAAAGCTGCATGAGATTGCCTTGCCATAGGGCGAGCTAGCAGGGATGAGGGAGATTCCCAGTGTGCATGCAGAAACAGGCGGGCCAGAAACTGTGGAACGAGCAAGGAAATGGGCTTGGCGTCACGTGCAGCGCACACACCCTTGACGTATGGATGTGGTGCACGGAAGCGCGCGGTGCGTTGCTCCGTGACGATGATGTGCCAAAACTTCCGCTGTGTTCTTTGGCTAAGCACCCCGATGTATCAGGTGGGGCAACGAGTGCAGGAATTCCCACGTTGCTGATGAAGAAGGCCATGAGCTGGTTGCGTGTTTGTGATGAATGAGTCCTTGCAGCTGTCAGGTCTCCTGGATGGTCCTTCACATGCTGGATTGCCCTGGACTTGTGCAAAGATGTGCCCCTCTGGATTGCATGCACTTTGCATGCATTTCCTCAGATTCGGCCAAGGTCAGCAAGCGTGGAGGCAGTTGCCGCCAGGCTCGGGGCAGCGGACTGGCGCAGGGAGGTGCCGAGAATATCGCAATCTGTGGACACTCAGGACCTTGTTTCCAGACATGAACTGCAGAACATGCGTGTGCTGCGCCTGCTAAACAGCGCAGGAGGTGTGCCAGTTCTTTGCCAGAGAAAGGTGGTGTAAATTCGGCGACCAATGCCGTTATTCGCATGGACCTGCTGGAACAGGCTTCTTTGGTGCAACAAGCATTGCACATGACGCACATGCCATCAAGCCAACACCAGCCACCTCGGCCAAAGTGTCCTTCTGAGGCCCGCCTGAATCACATCTTGAGGCCGTGATGCAGAAATTGTCTGGCGCAAAGAAGCCCCTGTTGCACGAGCAGCACGAGCAGCCTGCAACTGCCTCGAGAACTTCGGGAGTGTCGGGACAAGTCTGCCAATTCTTTTCCAAACAAGGCTTGCTGTTGTTCTGATTGTT